TAAAACTATTTTTTAAAAAGAAAAACTTATTTTTTTTTTTAATGTGCCTCAGAGATTCAGGGATATACATGAGCATAGTCAAGTGACCAGCATTCAATGAGGCCAGCAGGTGGCTTTTAGGTTACACATGGGGTTTGCTACCACGTGTCTGTCCGTTGAACACCTGTATTTGTGTCTTTGGTTTCTGTGTGCAGGAAGGGGCATACCCTGTTTTATACATGTGTACTGAACATTTCATTAGGCACAGATCCTGGAGCCAGAGGCTATATGCTGTCCTTTTGTTTACCAAACGATGCAGCAGGTACTGTGCTAGGTTTTTGTGAATTATCTCATTTAGTTCTCAGAAAACTCTCCATGCCTGGGCACTGCCACATCCCATTTTACAGATGATCACATGGAAGCACAGAAAGGGTAAGCCCCCTGCCCACGTCTCACAGCTACCAGCTGCTGCAGCGAGCTTCTTGCTCAGCTGTGTGACCCCAGAGCCTGGTTCTAACCGGCTGGGCCGTGGGTTAGGCCTTGAGAGACTGACCCCAGCATCGGTTTGGGGTGAGATATCTGTCCTCTCTGAGCCCACGTTTCCTCCTTCTCCGTACTTCTTACGTCATCGGTCTAATGAGGAGCACATTATTGGGTACAGGAGAGCGTCTGGAAATGCTCAGTGATGGCGCACACATCACCACAACAGAACACGTCAGATTCCTGTCTCAGCCAGGCAGCCGTTTTCGCAGGGCCACCCTGCAGCGTCTCGGGGAGCACCTCCAGCTCAGTGATGGAGAGCAGTGATGCGGGAGGAGGCGTGTCTGCGGGGCTGCCCGGGAGGGAGGCCTGGAACGGGGTCTGAGAGGTTTGCGGGGCCTCTTTCAGCACAGCGACCAGCTCAGCCCGGATGCCAGGGCGCCCGCTGATAACAGAGCTGACAGCTCCATGGGCTCGTCAATATTTGAAGAGGGGTGGAGGCCGTCAAGCAGGGAGATTACGAGGCCAAGCAAGTGAACAGTGAGCACCACCTAAAGCATGTCCGGCGGGGAAGCCTAGCCCAGGGAGCCGCCGGGTGGGTCCGGGAGGCAGTCCCCACCCTGAGGTGCGGCCCAGGGACTCCCTGATCCCACAGCCAGGGTTCTGCACAGGTTTGATGCTCCGAGGTCACCACCTTCAGTTTTGAAGAGTTTTATCTTTGAACTTGTGTTGTGGGAGTAAAGCTCATGGGGCAACCTGGTAGAAGACCCCGAAGCAGATCACTGACAGCCCCAAAGCTGGTGGGGACGGGGGGTGGTGGTGGAGGGGAGGAGCACGGAAGTCTCGGTGGGCATGCAAAAGGTACGGCCACTGTGGGACATCCTGGAGGGATCCTATAAAACTGAACATGCGCTGAAACCTGTTTGGTTCAGTGGATAGAGCGTCTGCCTGCGCCTGAAGGGTCCTGGGTTCAATTCTGGTCAAGGGCATATGCCCTCGTTGCTGGCACATCCCCAGTAGGGGGCGTGCAAGAGGCAGCTGATCAATGTTCCTGACTCTCTATTCCTCTCTCTTCCTCTCTGTAAAAAATCAATAAAATATATTAAAAAAAAAAAAAAAAAAAAAAACCTGAACACGCTCTGATACGTGACCAGCACCCATACTCCTTGGTGGTTTCCCAAAGGAGTTGAAAACCTGCGTGCACAGAAACACCTGCACACGGTGTTGACAGCAGCTTTGTTCATAACTGCAAACATAGACGAGCCTTTCGGCCATGAAAAGAAGTGGAGGAACCTTGACGACATGTGACTAAGTGAAAGAAGCCAACCTGGCCAGGCTGTACGACCACGCCACTGGACCTTCTGGAAGTGACAATCCTGTGGAGACATCTAAAAGATTAATGAGGGTGCCCCGCTAGGCTGGCTCAGTGGTTGAGCATCAACCCATCAACCAGGAGGTCATAGTTCGATTCCCAGTCAGGGCACATGCCCAGGCTGCAGGCTCAACACCAGTAGGGGGCGCGTGGGAGGCAGTTGATCAAGAGTCTTATCACTGATGTTTCTCTCTCTCTCCCTCTCTCTGAAATCAATAAAAAAAAATTAATAGGTGGGTGCTGGAGGGGGATGGGACTGGGGAGAAGGCGGATTGGTTAAAGGGGGGTCAGATCTATGGACAGTGAGCCAGGCTGTGGGCAGGGGAGGTACATACAATATGCACGCCCTGTCTGTTGCCACCTCGTTCACAGGTGGCATTCCTGATGCCCACAGGCACAGGCTCTCAGTTAGGCCCACAGGGAAGATAACGGCTTAGTGTCATGTGGGCAGCTGGGTTGTAGAGGCCCTGACAGCCCTGAGAAGCCATACCTTCCATCCAATCCAGAATTGTCTCAGACACAGAAAGGTCTTTCAAGAAACATGAGCAACCGAAGAACCGTCCCAGATCCCTTCCGACTCGGTTCCGCCTGTGACAGCCTCTGCTGGAGACGCAGCCCTGCAGGAAGAGCCTGATCCCTGCTTCCCGTCCTTCAGCCCTCGTCGTGAGGGGGAGGCAGGGGGTGTAGGGGGAAGTGTGAGCGTCTGGAGGGGACACAGCAGCCACTGGGTCAGCCACTCGCTCTGTGTTGGTAAGGATGATCTATGAGCCGTGTGCGTGCGGGGCGTCAGCCGTGAGTTAGGGCCTTGGAAGGCGGCAGAGCACGGCACACGGGCATGGTCACGTTCATGCTGGTGCCTTGGCCAGGGACTCGGTTGGTTGGAGCGTGGTCTGTGTGCCAAAAGGTTGCGGGTTTGATTCCCAGTCAAGGTGTATACCTAGGCTATCGGTTTGATCCTCATTTGAGGTGTGTATAGGGGACAACAGATTCCTCTCTCTCTCTCTCTCTCTCTCTCTCTCTCTCTCTCTCTCTCTCTCCTTCTCGCCTCCCCCTTCCTCTCTCTCTCTCTCTAAAATAAATAAAAATTTATCTTAAGGTGAAGATTAAAAAGTTCATGCTAATAACTTGAAATTTTAATTTTTTCCTTTCTTAAAATGATTTGTGTAGCAGATGGAAGGTGCAAGTAGAGAGAGAGAGAGACGCCATGGAAGAAGGAAAAGCTGTGTACACATCCGAGTGCCTCCAGCAATGCTTCTTCCTCTTTTATAAGGGGCTTTGCTTTTTCTTTTTTTTTTTCTTTTTTTGCACCTGGTCCTGCAAATTCTGTCCCCAGCCCTGCCTCTGCCACTGCCACTAAGTTAACATGTGGTGAGAATCTGCAATAGACACACTGCTCCGTTTCCTCCCACCCTCAGGGCCAGAGTCACTCCGCTCGCTAAGCCCCATATGATTCTTCTGTAAAACGGGGGTAAAAAGCCCAGTCACAGCATGGACACAACTGAGAGGGAGGGATGCCGAGGCTTGGCGAAGAGTCAGATGCCATCCACGTGGCGGTCGTTGTCCCAGATAGTCCAGAGTGCACCCGCCCCATCAGAAACGGTAGGCCCAGCACCTGCTCTGCGGTGGGAAGACAGCCGTCATGGTTTGTAGGGCTCTGGGGGTCTGGGACACAAAAAATAAGCACAAAGGTGCTCGAGGCCAAGGGCAGCCGACGGAGACTTAGTGGGGGAGAGTGCTGTCGGTTCGGGCCAGTCAGAGTCAGGGCCAAAGCTAAGCCCTTGCACCTGCAGCCGCACTGCCTCTGTGCTCCCTGGCACAGTGTGTGTGCATGACGGCTGCTTAATAAACGGGCTGCGTACATTCCAGACATAAAGGCACAGCACTGAGCTGGAGTCAAGTTCACAGCCCTCATCATGGGGCATCGGATTGTGGATTCAGTGTTTGTTTAAATACCATTTCTGTCCCTTACGTGTTACATTCTGAAAGGGGTCTTCCCCGGCTCTCCCCGTGTCTCTCTCTGGGCAGCCGTGGCTTTTGCTTCGTGGTGGGATCGCACTCTGCGGTTCTGCTTATTTGTCGGGCTCTGAGTTCACTCACAAGGAGCCCAGGAATGTGGGGCAGAGCCTCGGAGTCTTTTTTTTTTTTTTAATATATTTTATTGATTTTTCACAGAGAGGACGAGAAAGGGATAGAGAGTCAGAAACATCGATGAGGGAGAACCATCAATCAGCTGCCTCCTGCATACCCACTTCCGGGGATGTGCCCGCAACCAAGGTACATGCCCTTGACCGGTATCGAACCCGGGACCTTTCAGTCCGCAGGCCGACGCTCTATCCACTGAGCCAAACCGGTCTCGGCAAACCGGAGTCTTTTTATAGCCTGGTACCCAACAGGAATTCGTGATGGATGCTTGCATGAGCATATTGATGAATAAAACCACAGTAATTACTAGTCTGCATTTCTCCTAAATGTTTTTTTTTTTTTCAAGAACACTGAAAAGCATAATTTACCATGTTTCCCTTTTTGCCCTGGCTGTTAGGAAGCTCAATATCTTCATACCAAGTCTGTACATCAATATGCACATTTTCAATGACCCTCATCCCATTGCTGTGCCCACTTTCGTTTTTCTATCTCCTTGAACTATTTTTTATGTATGCTCTCAGGCTGTATCTGCATAGTCCTTGTGGGGCATTTTAATAAAAACCCCTCCTGGAATGAAATAAACTAAACAGCCTGTCCTGACCCTCCAATGGCATGCTCTGACCCCAGAGCATTGAGCTGCACCTAGTTACCTGCTTTCCGGCGCCAAGAGGCCTTGGGGAGCGATGTTTGCCTGAGGAGGGCAGTTCCGTGAAGGAGATGCTATTTCCTCCCATTTTAATGGTTTGGTTAGTGGTGGGGGAGGTGGTGTTCTGGAATCAATGGAGGTGAAAGGCAGACAGAACTGCAAAACCTCACAGAACGTGTTTTCCCTGCTCTGGCCATGACTCACGGGAACAGAGGAAGGAATCAGCTACCCAGGTCGCCTGGGCGGCCACAGTGGGTGAGGGGCCCGGACAGGATGCTTGGAGTGCCAGGGAGGCACCAGAGCGAGAGGACTCAGTTGGTTGGTTTTTATTGAAGAGGCACTGCTGCCATAGGCCCCACCCAGGCTGTGTTTGCCTGGCCTGTGTACTCAGCCAGCAGCTCCGGATGAGGAAGCAAAGGGCAGGGAGCTGGCTCAGTTGACAGCTGGTCCCGGGTCGAACCAGCTGCAGACCAGGCGCCCTGCACCAGAGCAGCTCCAAGTGGCACCAGGGGACCGAAGACACTCCCTCCAGGGACACCACAGGTAACTCTCCTGGGTCCTCTGAGCACGGCGTTAGGGTTTGTAGTTTGCGGCAGGCAGTGACCTGCAGAAGCTGGGGGTCAGCGAAGGTTGTTTGACCCCAGCTCTGCCATTGACTCACTGTGTGGGCTTGGGTATCTGAGAGCCTCCATTTCACCATTTGTGGGATAGACCCCAATACGGCCTTCCCTAACAGGTCTGCCTGGGATGCAGTGATTATGTGGCAGTGGCAGGTGCCAGAGGTAGCTCCTGTTTGCAGAGAACCACTGAAGGTCGTTTTCAGTGTAAAACTTGGGGTGGTGTGGGATACTCAACAGTGGAGGCGTGAGGTATGTGATTTGGGGAGCACTGTCAGGACACGGGTGCCACGGAAAGGCTGCCTGAGGGGACCTAGGAGCGCTGTCTGCGGCGGGAGGAGAAGGGGGAAGAGACCCTGGAGTGTCATTAGCGAGCCTGGCTCTTTGCACAGTTCGTCTTACTTAACGCTCACGGTTGCAATCCCAGCTGCAGGACTCCAGGAACCTGCATGGCCGTCCGCAGCCTCATTCTCCGCCTGGAGAGCCGAGGTGATTGGAGGGCAGGTGCCCTGGAGCTTCAGGCTCCTGATCTGTAAAATGGGATAATAACAGTGCCGAGATCAAAGCCAAGGCCATGAGGGCGGAGAGGTCCAGGGCCGGAACACCTGAGCCTGTGAGTGACGGATCTCAGCTGTGGCTTTTTTCGCTGCCATTCTGTCGTCTTCTCTGTTTACAGTTAGGAAGCTGAGGCTGGGCAAGGGGAGGACACCTTGGGGCCTCTGAGAAAGGAGGTCACGTCGTGGCTTGAGTGACATGGGTGAGGCACTTGCCTCAGGAGCAGACTTTAAGCAACACAGAAAGCTCTGTCACCAGGACAAATTATACTTTAAGGCAATATTTTAAAATTGTTAAGCTAATGCCAAGAGATCTATGGGGAGTGAGATAGCATGTTAGGCACAGATGGGATCGATAACAGCACTCATGTGGGTTCGTTTAAGGTTTTGTGAAAATATATTGCTCATCTTGAGGCCTGAGTTTTCTGGGTCCTTTTTAAGTTCCGCTCTGGTGGCTCCCTCCCCCTACCCTCATCCAAGCTGTGATCATCGTCAGCCCTGGGGTGTGTAGTCCTGCTCCCTCCAAAAATAAAAGGGGAGAGGGACAGCTCGGTACTTTTCAGTTGAAGGAGAGTGGGCCGACCCAGCCCGCACCCCAAGTCCTGGGAGATCCTTTCCCCAAGCGCTCTGAGCCTGGGGGTGGGGGGCTTTTCAGGGAGAAGGCAGGCACTTGGGGAGTGCTGGCCGGGAAGAGCCCACAAAGGCTGGGGTCCGCTGGCAGGCGGTGCTCGGAGAGGCGTGGGGAGGCCTTGGCAGGTCCGGTCCCATCCAGCAGGCTCGCCGTCCTCTCCAGCTCGAAGCTGTTGGCTCACTGTCAGCAGCGCCTCTGGCCTCTGCCCAGAGCTGGGCAGGAAGTGGTTAAGGATTCGAGTGACTGAGTCATGTGGAAACAGGTCAGACCCCTAACTGCCACTTCACAGCTTCTGGCCTGGGACAGTGTCTCCACTTACCCACCCAATGCGAATTGGGGGCCACCATGAGCAAGCAGGACCAGCGAGGTGCCTGCCCGCACGCAGCACCTTCTGGGGTGAAGGCATCGCATCCGGTCTGGGTGTCTTTATCTGTGTGATGGGGCGTGACCGGCTGCTGGCAGCTGTAGGAAAATGCAGCTGATGGAAAGACAATGCCTGCCCCAGGGCTGGGGCCAAGGTGAGGCCAACCAGGCCCCTGGACAAAGCTGGGAGACATCCCCTGGTCACGCCTCCCAACCCTGAGAGGGCGCCTGTTTGCACATGTACCAGGCCTCTCCGGATCCTCCTGGGCCTGTCTGGCTCATGTCAGTAAGCCTTTGGCCAATGTTACCTGCTGCCCTTAGCTTAACGATGTGTGGGCAACGCTGAGAATAAGGTGGTAAGCTTTAAGACTCTGGGAGCATCAATCATTTATATAAATATAATTGACTAAGACAGTGGTCAGCAAACTGCAGCTCGAGAGCCACATGCGGCTCTTTGGGCCCTTGAGTGTGGCTCTTCCACAAAATACCATGTGCGGGTGTGCACATACAGTGCAATTGAAACTTCGAGGCCCATGTGCAAAAGTCAGCTCTCAAAAGAAATTTCAATCGTTGTAATGTTGATATTTGGCTCTGTGGACTAATGAGTTTGCCGACCACTGGACTAAGAAAGAGATCAATTAGCAAGTATCCTGAAAACACACAGCTCCGGTTTGATGAAGGCACCCCTCCCCTGGACCCAGGCGGTCCCATAGCAGGACGCAGGGCGGCCAGTCCTCATGCGCCCCCTTGTGGAGGAGGCCGGTGGTACCACTGCACCTGGCGGTAAGGTGCTGGGGAATTCCAGGAGATGCAGGACCACAGGAAGTGGGCGAGCAGGTCTGTTCTCTTCACTCACCTTGACCTTGCCTTTGGAGATGGGGGCACGGGGCTTTTCTGCTGTGTGTGCCAGCCTGGCCATGTTGGCACTGCCCTCCACTGGGGGTGAGGAGGGCTCACAGTTTGCCTACAGGCCATTGCATCGGCCAAGGCATTTCTGTTTGCTCGGTGACTAATTCTGTCAGCATCCACCCTCCGAGGACCTGCCCCTCCTTGTGACAGTCACTTTGCTGCCCGGCTGCAGACTGATTGCTCTTTCTCCCGCCTCTGAGCCTGGGTTTGCTGTTGATGGGTTCCCAGGAGGAGGGCTCACTGATAACCTGCATGTAAGCCCAAGGAACACCAATCAGGGGTAAAGGCCACTGTCACCTCACAGGAGCCCATGAGGTTGGGTCTGCGATGGCCCCTCTCTGCCCTCACCTCACAGACAGGAGCGGAGGCAGCTGGTGCGAGCAAGACCTGACCCCGGCGGAGGGCCTGACCCCACTGGAGGGCCTGACCCCAGTGAAGGGCCTAACCCAGGCAGATGGTTTGCTGTTTCATCACCAGGGACTGCTCCCTAACAGCTCTCAGAAAAGCGGGTCCCGGAGGCACTGGGCCACCGGGAAGAGAAAATCGCTAGATCCAGCCCCTGAGCAGGTCCCTCCACTGAGACACTGGCGACATTTGGGGCAGATCGTCCTCTGCCGCCGGCGTCCTGTGCACCGGGGGTGCTCACTCTGAGTCCTGACGCTCACACCTGTCTGCAGGCATGTCTACATGGGGGGGTAAGGGAGTGGGGGGCAAAACTGCCCGCAGTTGGAGAAACACTGCCTGTGAGCTCCTGAGAATCAGAACGGAGAGCACACATTTCTAAGGAGAACATTTTAACAAGATAGCAGAGATAGAGAGAGATCTTCAGCACATCGAAACACCCGTCCCAGGACCACCTGGGTGCCCGCCCCATTTAACCTTCCCTGAAACGCTGTGATGTACAAGGCCTGTTGGGCTGGTGCCAGACCTCCCTGTGCCTCAGTTTCTCACCAGAAAATTGAGCAAATAACAGCATTTTTTTTTTAACCCAGAGAGTGGTTGCCCAGGCAGGGGAGTCAGGACAAACATAACGGCAAACACGAGAGGTGTTTGATGTAGTCAGAACAGTGAACACCAGCCTTTTCCGCAAGACAAAGGCATTGGGAGAGAGCACGCCTTGCTGGAGGCCTCATCGTGGTGAGACTGACGGGGGCTAGCTCAGGCCCTAGCTTTCTCTCAGAGGAGGAAGGGGAGTGCTCCCCACTCAGGCAGCCCTTCTGCCGTCCTCCTTCGGGGCACCCACGCCCTCCTCCCTTCTCACAGCCAAGTGGGAGGGCAGGCTGCCCAGGAGCAAGCACGCCCTGCACACATGCTCAGGAAAAGGGCGCTGCAGACCTGGTGCGTCTCTGTTTGCTGTTTTGCTTGGTGGCCCAACCGGCTGACCCAATGGGCCACCGAGGCGTGCCCGGGAAGGGTTGGGGACATGCTCGGGTGCCCTGGGTGGCAGTGATTGGTCCCTGGAGCCCTGCCTGCGTCTGGGCATCCCCAGCCTGGTTCTCTGAGTCAGGGAAGGCTGTACCCAAGAGGTTCCCAGCCAAGGACACTCGTTCACCCCGAAATACCCAAAACCATGGCTCCCGGCGTTGGCTGTCATGGAAACCACCTTGAGATCTTGAAACTATAGGGATGCTAAGGGCCAGCCCTGGAGAGGCTGGTGGGATGGGTCTGGCTGGGGTCTGAGCATGGCAATCGGAATGTCACCGGTGATTCTAACCTGCGGTCCCGTTTGAGGACTGGCCTCAAGGACACAGCGGGAAGTGGAGAAATGAAGGGACTTCCTCATCCGAATGACTTCCACCCAGAGAAAGGTTCACCCCACATCCTCAAAATGGGAGGCCCTCAAACACGAGTCCAATTTCAAAAACAAAGCGCCCTGCCATGGGGCAGCTTGTGTCTAATGTCAGCCACGTCACCAAGCAAAACAACTAACACCATCGGCTCCTGAAAGAAGGACGAGGTGACACCACCCTCAACGCTGCCCTTCTCCAAATGAAAGCTAGCTCTTTCCAATGAAGACTTTTTCTGGGCAAAAACCTCTATCTGGTTTATTTGTCTCATTTGTTGAAGACTTGAGAAAACGTCACGGAAATCATTATCTATACTGCCCTGAGCCTCAGTTTTGCCATCTGTTAAATGGGGATTAACCAAAGGACTGGAGTTCATGCATATGGGCCTAGCCAGTGGCCATGGACAACAGGGGTGTGGGGCATATGTGGGGAGGGGTTTGGGTTGGGAATAGGGGGATGAGGACAATTATGTGGTACCATAATCAATAAAATTAAAAAAAATTTTTTTAAAGAGTCCTTACCTCACAAAGTCTTGGAGAAGATAATAAGGTGGTCACCATCCTAGTTGTCACAGGACAGTCTGCCTCCCAGAACACCCTTGTCCCTGGGACAGATGTCACCATCACTGTATTTCCCACATGAGCCTGATCATAGAACCAACTGTGTATTTGCTAAAACTGCA